TATTACAATGGTTGTTACATTTATTTTTTCGCTGTTTTCCTTTTTATTTTATTTTTTCATTTAGTAACTACCCAGTTCATTTTATATTAATTTTACTTGCAAGTTATTATTCATTGATTTATAGTGATAACAATAACCATATACATGCAGAAAATGACGATTTTTAGTAAAGTGTTGCCTAATAGAGATTTAATCATAAACAGGTTTAAGCATTAAAAGAATGGATTTACAGATGTCTAGCAGTGCCGTTTTAATAAATGATGCCAGAGCATGTGCTTCTCTTTTAGTAAGAAATAGTAAACTCTTCATCAATCCACAATATTGGCATAAAATTACTGTAAGATTTTCCATATTTATTAATAATTGTATGTTTGAATTATTATCATTTTAGATTCATAATTGTGAAGGTATTCATAGGGATGTATTACTAAAAGCAGTTTTGGATGCTATACATCCTAATGATTTGATCCCAGTGCATTTTAGAAAAGAAGATTCCAATGCTTCATTTCTTGCAAGGAATTGCAAAGCAGCAATTGAAAAATTGTGTCAGAACAATTTATTTATTGCTAACCCTTTGAATAACAATTTACCTGTAAGTATTCATAAAGAATATGCTATTCAATAATAACTAGTAATAGCAAAATAGTAAGTGTTCGTGGAAATGCACAGGTATTGATCTAGTAACAATAAAAGTTATTAATCAAAACACTTACCGGATATCATTACTGCTAGGACAGCGGGATATTAATTAAATCTAAGCACATTTTACTCTTCTAATGTTCAAATCCATCATTTTTGTATAAAAAATATTACCCTGGCGTGTTGTGGAGGTCGAGTTTTTGATTCCTTCTCATAACAAATTCGCAGAAAACAACGTAATGTAATAAAATTTGTTCGCAAACATCACCATCATCGTATCTCAACCTCTTGAGGTAACACCGAATTAAACACAATCCGTTCTATTTTTAGGATTATTTGAGGAACAGTTGTTACATTTACTTCTCATGTTCTAAAAATGTGTTAAGATGGGTGTTGTCGGTCGATTTAACGATTGCAACGTTCGCACAATCGTAGGAAAAAAATCGGTTCAATCGTCGTCATTTTAGCCCCAGAGTTTGGGGCAACTTTTTGATGTATGACATTCGATTCTTGATTGTTAAAGGTACTATCATCTAATAGTCTTTCAGGCTTAGAAACAACTGAAATGAAACATATATATACCGGCGCCTGCGTCTCCATCGAGCGACGCCGGCGTATCAACGACGAGCGTCCTTTCAGTTTTATTTACTTATCTATTTTATTTAATTACATTTATCAGAATTCGAATTGGCACTTAATAGTATAAAGGAGATGGCAAAGTTTACTTTCTATTACCTATGTTTACGTTAATGCATCGATAAAAATTTAGATATTTAACTTCCCATTAGGAAGTTATTGTAATTGGGTCGAAAAGTGAAATCGGAATTTTCATTATATTTCCACGTTTTAACATATTAGTAGCATGCTAGCCAATTTTTTTGATGATGTGTGTATGTACGTACGTACGTACGTACGTACGTACGTA